GAGTTGGGAATTCGCTGATTGAGGATTGTGTTTTGACACGAGGTTGGAAATGACCCACGTCGAAGCCTTTGCAAACGATATCGGCTGGGAGGGTGGGTTGAATTGATGGTGACATTGGCAAGCTTATTGTGACTGTACTATTTTCGCCTCGGTATGTAATAGCATACTCGTACGCCCAATACCCTAGCACAACTAGCGCAATTTCCAGCGTGGTTCTCCGCCGAGGGACCTCCTGAACCTTTTCCCTCGCGCTTTGAGAGCTTGGGCTAAGCAGATGGTTGAGTGCCCAGAGTGGTGAAACCTCCGTTATCATCGTTACCACCGTGACCATCATGCCACAAGTCATTGACGGGGCCGATTCCATCTTGACCGTAATCTGCGCGAGGCTCAAAATAATTAGTCGGGTGTGAAGCGGGCTCTTGCGCCGGTGAAGTCCCTGGGTTGCGAAGAGATGAGCTAATTTCATCTGAGGCTGAGGCTGAGGCATGCGGTCCGGCTTACTTCTCGTCATCCTCCACCAAGGGCCCCTTGCTTGTATCACCCAAAGACCACATACAGCCAATCGATGGAGCTGACGACTTCTGGGTAAAGCTGCTGAAGTTCTGTCGTCGGCTCAGGCGAAGTGGTCGATGGCGCATCATCTCCAGAAGCGCTTGGGGCGGCTCTGGAGAGCTTCCCAAGGATATCACTAAGAAGCAGATGTAGATTCTCGAGCAGATCCGTGACCGCTCGGCCGGTTAACGGTGAAGTATTGCCTAGGATGTCCTCAAGCGAGGATTGACCCGTTTCATAAGCCCAAACGTTGGAAGTCCATACTCGCAGGCGGCTCAACTCGGTTATCCAAGAAGCTAAGGGAACATCTCCCTCATGGCGATAGTCAGGCTGCTCCGCTCGTGTTTTGATATGATTCAAGGCTGCTAGGCATTTCGTAAGTGTAGTGCTGACAGAAGTTGGCATTGTTCCGTTCCTGCGGATCTGATGGTTGCTCTTAAAATCACTGATCTCTTTCAAAGTAATTGCGGAAGTAGGACGAGTCGAAGAGAATATTTCTTCAAGTAAAGGACTCTGGTTAGCTGGGTTTCATGCGTGACGGTCGTCTCAGCGGTGGCCAATCGAGAGCGCTTAAAGAAGACCGCTCAGCCATTTCCCTGTTGACACTTTGCCCTTCACTCTCCTTAAATAGGCCAGGCTGTAAGAAGAGATGTCACAATATTAATACGAGGTAGCTGGCCTCGTGCTATCTGTTTCACCATGTGTGTCCAAGGCGAAGACCGGCGATGATACTTGCAGGCACCCGCAAAACAGTTTCAAACTCTCATGGTAGAAGATTAAGGGTACGCGAACAATTCCATGTTCTTGCAAGATGTCGGCTTCAAGACATTGATAGATTGATGGAAGATATCAGTGTTGGCTGGCATACGGGGAAACTTTTCACCGGCGCCGTCTGCGGTAAGTCACCAGCTATCTGCAGCATCTGATCCTGGTCTTGAGGTTCTTTGCCTCAACACACATAAGCTGACACTGTTGCCTTGTTGTTGCCTCCCAATCTCTTTTCCTGCACGGCTTCATTCCTATCTCATACACACTGACCATAATGCTTCGATAACGCTTCTCACGCAGCCAACTGGCCAGCCTCGCCGCCTCGAGCTCTCACATTTCAAACCATGCACGACCCATTCCCCTTTCCGCCGCCCTCACTGCTCACACATTTAACCACGCCACTCGCTAACGCGCTCTCCTTGCCCACCCTCTCGCTCCATATTCACGAACTCCTCCTCGCAACCCTCGTCTACCACCTAATCTGCCGCTACATCTCCCCTTATGTCTCCAGCAAGCTCTTCCCCCGCATCTATCCTGCCCTCAGCGCCCGCACAAGACTGAACTGGGACGTCCACGTCGTTTCTTTGTCACAATCGCTTCTCATCAATACGCTGGCTCTATGGGTCATGTGGATGGATGAGGAGAGGGGGAGGATGGGATGGGAGGAACGGGTGTGGGGATATACGGGAGCGGATGGCATGATTCAGGGATTCGCGGCCGGTTACTTTTTGTGGGATCTCATTGTGTGTGCGGGAAACGTGGGGGTGTTTGGATGGGGGCTATTGGCGCATGCGGTGGCGGCGCTGGTGGTCTTTTCGTTGGGATTCGTGAGTATTCCCTCCTCCCTTACTTCTCTGGGAAGAGTATAGTCCTGGACTGCAGGGAGTGAGTTCGACTAATGCGAGCAATATAGAGGCCTTTCGTCAACTTCTACGGCCCCACCTTCATCCTCTACGAGCTCTCCTCCCCCTTCCTCAACTTTCACTGGTTCTTCGATAAACTTCACATGACCGGCTCCCGACCGCAATGGTACAATGGCATGTTCCTCCTCTCCAGCTTTTTCTGCTGTCGCTTGCTCTGGGGCACCTATCAATCGATCCGCGTCTCCCAAGATGTCTGGGCTGCGCTGCACTACGACCCTCTCACTAGGAGCTCGAAGGCAGTATTCGAGCCAGAAGCGGGGAGTGCGGACATCATGCGTTTTGCAGGCGACTATCCCATGCCGGCTTGGTTGGCTATTGTCTACTTGAGCAGTAATGTTGTGCTAAATACGTTGAACTTCTACTGGTTTGGCAAGATGATCGAGACAATTAAGAAGAGGTTTGTGGAGTCGAAAGAACAGAAAGGCGCTAGGAAGAGAGAGGGTAAAGAGGAGGGTGTGATGGTGGAGGGCTTAATGGATAGTAGTACGCTTATTACGGAGATTGCGGAGGATGAGGAGGATGTGCAGTTTGGTGGGGAGGATATCATGTATGACGGGGACGTGGAGGATAAGCTGACGATGGAGAGCAGCATCTTGGATGGGAAGAGTACGATTCATGTTGAGAAGACAGAGGTTAGGCGGAGGAAGGGTTGAAGTCCTGGACGATGTGTCACTGGCCCGCGATTTTAGCGTTGCTGCAGCTTGGTATTCAATAATGTTACACTCGGGTTAGATGCGCAGCCAAAATTATCTTGCCATCATGCCACTGAAGCTGTTGCGCATGACTCAGAAGGCTGACTAATTAACCCATCGTCTCTTGATGCTTGGAGGGTGCTTCCAGTCGACGCTTCTTCTTTATAATCTGCATCCCATGCATCCACGGCCAGAGCACCTCCGGTATCCTCACACAGACTTCTTTCTCATCCCAACCATTCTCCAATAGTGCAGCGAGGACTCGGGGTACAGCCAAAGCTGTTCCGTTGACAGTGGATGGAAAGTCCATCTTGGTCTGAGATCCTGCGGGGTTTCGTACCCTCGTGTTCAGTCGCCTTGTCTGATAGTCGGTACAGATCGACGTCGAGGTGACCTCACCCCATCCACCATCTTTCTCACGCCTGGAAGGGAAGAATGCCTCGATATCCTGTTTTCTGACGGCGCTGGCCCCTAAGTCTGTCGATGGCATCTCGAGTATGCGACAGTGTAGCCCGAGGTTCTGAAGAATCTCCTGCTGAATAGAGAGCATGGAGAGGAAAGCTTCGTCCTCGCCTCCTTGAGCCGTCCAAGCGAACATTTCCACTTTCGTGAACTCGTGAACGCGATATAATCCTTTTGTTTCCACACCCCTGGCGCCTGCCTCTGCTCTGTAACACCGGCTTGGCCCAACCACCTGGATCGGCAAGTCCGCTCGGTCAACGGCCGCATCCGCCTTCATCCCAGCAAGCGGTATCTCAGCCGTCCCTGCGAGACTATGCGACGGCTTGCCCTTTTCTTGATCCCTTTCACTCTGCTGTGTGTCGTATACTTGCTGCTCCCCACTCTGATCACGAGGCCGGAATCCACAGGCCGCGGCAATGTGCGAGTAGACCATTGAGGGAGGTGTGACGACTGTGAAGCCGTGCTGCATGGCCACCCTGACTGCGTATTGGATCAAGGCCTGCTCGAGTAGCGCTGCTTCATTCTTTAGATAGTACCAGCCCCACCCGCTCGTTGTAGCAGCGCCAGCAAAGTCTAGCAAATCGAATTCCGTGCCGATGTGGACGTGGTTTCTCCATATTCGGTCGTGGGACGTAGAGGGAGGGTTCGAATGTTCGTTGATATAGCCCAAGACCTTAGGCTCATCGCCTCTAGGCGTTTGGTCGCTCGTGAGATTTGGTAGCTCAGCTGCTAGATCCTCGATCTCATTATTCAGCTGTCCCTCGAGAGCCTCGATGGCCGATAGTTGCTTTTTCAAGTCCTGGGCCTCCTCCACCAACAGCGTCTTCTGCTTGCCTTGTCCATCTTGTGCCTCTCCCTCGATACCGCTGAAAGTTCTGGAATGAGACAGCTGCGTTCTGATGGCATTGCTCTTCTCCCGTAGTCCGCGCGTACTCTTTTGGGATAGGAGCCATTTCTCGAAGAGCTTGACAATCTTGAAAGGACTGTCACTCTGGGCTTTGTAGTTGCGCTCGAGGCAGTTCTGGGAGTAGAGTTCGGGATTCTGCCGGATGTGTTTAATGTTGAGGGAGGGTCTAGGAGCGATTGAGGGCAGGCTCTCGCGGCATCTGGGACCGCATTGGGAGAAGTAACGGTTCGCGTGGCCGTTGAAGAGCTTTCTCTTTGGCAGGAGAACCTGTAGCTCCCATTTTGTCATGGCAGAAGCCGCAGCTCGAGGTCTCAATCCGCTGGGGTTCATAGGAGGAACTTTCAGTACGGCAGGCGCTAAAAACGATTGCGCAGGTGATATAATCAACGGCTCCGGCCGCCGAGGCAAGGCGAGCTCGCTGGTGTCACGTTGCTCCCATGTAGTGTTCACCAAACCTCACAATCCCCAGGCACTTCTAAACCAGTCACAAATAACGACTGCGGGCCTTTCAGATGAGGTGTTAGCAGGCTGACAGCCACAATTCACATCTGATATCAGGGCAAGATGTCAAAATTCTTCTTCGAAGACACATGTGCCTTTAAGGCTGATCCAGCTATTGTTGGCACAGTCGAGGGTACATGGAGTGATGTTGAGTCCTCATCTGAAGGCTTACTTAATTGTTACATTCACCACGATATGCCTTTGAGGGTTCGAAAAGCTTGGTTCGATAATGCGAAGCTTACTCCTGGCTATGTGATCATTGCTTTCAGCCAGGACTATGATGGCTACTGCCTTGTCGCCGAAAGCTCTCTTCAGTTGATCGATCGGTCTCTCGCTGCTGGCGATGTTGTCAAGAAAAGGCTTTCAGATGCACAGAGTGGAACCGTGATAGCTACGTCTCTTATGTGCTCTTTGCGTCCTACATGCAGCCAAGCCGATTTTTCGAGACGACAGCATCCTCCAGTCCAAGTTCATACGCCATCTCATGGGCCTCGCGCCCCAAGGCATGATAGTAAAGATGCAACGACACCTAGTTCCAAGCTTGTTCATGGATTTCCAGCCCCGACCAGCCCGGAAGTGAATGGACTGAAACCATTAAATAGCGCTGTCTCGCCCTTTCTTCAAGCCCCTGCTTCAGAGTTGAAGTTTTGGAACACCTATCGTGAAGAGGATAATCTGATGTACAAAGGATGGATTGGGGAAGTGAGATCTGTTTATGATGAAGTCACGATTCGTCTCGCTAATGGTAGCGTGGTTGTCGTTGAGGACCCAGAGGAGCTTGATGAGCCTTACTGGATCCCTGGTACTCCTTCTTATGAGCTCGCGCAGCGCCTAGATTGTGCTGGTTATTACCAATATTGCCCAAAGCAACACGCTCCAGGAGTGGGCCAAACCCGATCGATCCCAGCTGAACCTTGCTATCCTGGCCAGCACGTCCAAACAAAGAAGGGCAACTTACGCTGCGGAAGATGGAAGTTCGGTGCCTATGATCCAGCAATTACGCCAAGGGGGATAGTAGTTGATGTTCGCAACGTACAGATTGAGGTTCGCTGGCTGTCTCCAATTGCATCTCAAGATGCTCCGCCACTCCAGCCGTCGACGCTGTTAGATACTGAAGAGCTTCAGACTGGAGAGATCATCGTCTTCGATCGGAGCAAGCTTCCTAAACAGCTGGTTGCTAACGCCTCTTACAGCCCAGATACCGGCTTTGGCAATAAGGTGAGGTTCAGGGATCCCACCGGTGCTGCAGTCAAGTATGGTCCTGCCTCTAAAGGTGCCACTCATCCTGACCCAACGCCCGTCTTTGATCGAATACCTCGTGCTGCTACCCAAGGATTCGATATGAATGTGCTCCAGGTCGTTGCAACGTCTACCAAGGTCACGGTACGTTGGCAGGACTGTTCTATCACCGAAGACGACTCAGCTCAACTATTTCCTTACTTGAATCCCGATGAAAATGATGTGTGGCCAGGCGAGAAGGTGTCGTTCCTCCCGGACGAGGAGAAAATGGGCGATCAGGTCCCAATCATTCGCCTTCACAAAGTGGGAGTGGTGCAGTCCGTGGACGCCCGAGAGCGTATCGCTCGTGTCAGATGGTTTGAAGGCACCGAGATCGATATAGACGAAGAAGAGAAGGCCTCCCAGTACTCCGCGTCAACTTATGGGAAGTTGCGTAATGAGGTTGTAGAAGTTGCTCTTTATGACATTGCTGCTCACGCCGCTTTGGCCTTGAATCTAGGCGATCTTGTTAGGATCGCTCCAGAGCAGGCCCTGTCACCAGCACACGCTGCTGGTGGAGAAGATCTTCGATCGTTTCTATCCACTGATCCTGATGGAGATGTCGACATGCCGTACGCATATTCTAGTTCGCTCCCCCTTTCAAGAGTCGCTCAGCCATCACTGCTTTTCAATCCCGGATTCTTGACTGCCCCTCTTGAGAGAGCTCAGACATTCATGGGGCTGGCAGGCGATGACCCCGGCTCAACACCGCAAGGAAGATCTCTTTCGCAGGGCAATGAATGGGTCGGAGAGATTATTGATTTATGTCTTAATGGAGAGGTTGTAATCCGGCTCGGAGCCGCTTCCGAGGCCCGAGATGTCAAAGTACCTGTGGAACGAGTGGTAGTCGTTGCTTCTACAATTACAGGCAGCTCAGACTACAGCGAAGAAGATGATGACGACGACGGAGAATCATATTTCAGCGATGCTATGTCCGTGAGCGACGGGTGGTCAGACCGTGAAACAGATCAGGAATCAGTGGGGGCTATTGATGTCACTGTGGAGTACGAAGGTGGAGAGAAATTCAATGACGACGATGACGAGGGTATGTGGGCCACTGATGAAGACGATGTCGGAGACCTGGACATGCAGAAGTCCAGCGATGATGAGAATCCGCCAGTCTATCATCTGGAGGCCGTGAATGACGACCTTGTCCAGCTTGATCGCGGACTAACCTTGGAGCCGCCAAACCTAAGCTCCAATGCTGACACAGCGACGCGACTTTCCAGCTGTTCCTCGATGCCACCTCCCTTTTTTGTGCTTGAGGACGCGGCACCCTCAGATCATCATTTTTTCGGTTTGAGTCGGCCATTGACCGCCGACCTTATGCGGCGCGTCATGAAAGAGCACAAGATTATGCAATCCTCTCTACCAGACGGGATTTTCGTCAGGAGTTGGGAGTCCCGACTCGATCTGCTGCGTGTACTGATAGTTGGACCTTTCGATACGCCTTATGAGTTCGCTCCTTTCGTCGTGGACCTTCACTTCGGGCTATCATTTCCTGCGTCCCCACCGGATGCTTTCTTCCACTCTTGGACTGGTGGCTTGGGCCGCATAAATCCGAATCTGTATGAAGATGGCAAAATCTGTTTAAGTCTGCTGGGTACTTGGAATGCCGACGAACGAAACGAGGAATGGTCTTCTAAAAGATCGACCGTTTTACAGATACTTGTGAGCTTGATGGGGCTAGTTCTGGTAAAAGAACCGTATTACAGTAAGTGCATCATTCGAATCTTTCTCGGGCCCCTGCCTAGTGATGACTTGAGTGCATTTGGCTCGAGTACGACAGGGTGGCTCTTACTGCCCGTCGTCGATGATGTGAAATCTCAGCTACCTTTCTAATTCTGTCTGAACATCTGTCAAGACCCTCCGTGTGCATTGTCCATTACTTAAGCATCGGTACTGACTTGTCGAGGTAGATGAAGCAGGCTTCGACGTATTGATCGGCTCTGCAGACTCCCAGTTGCCCTCCGCATTGTACAACGAAAAGGTCTACGTGATGTCCAAGGGCTTCATCAAGACTGCTTTGATAACTGCACCAAATGGTTTCGCCGACGTCATCCAGTGGTTGTATCTTTCATCTCAGCCAGGCCCGAACCTTCTACGCCGTGTTGTTGAGGATTCGAAGAAGTTGTTGGCCAATAGCACCACCACGAGCGCAGTCGTTAGCGCTTCCGGCGCGATGGACGAAGGGGGTTCAACTCGGGCAAAACTCAGCACTGGGGCATCAATCTTGCTCCGAAGAAACGTTGAATGGTTGGAGGATTTCATGGTACAGTATGATAAGGGAATAGTTGCCATGCATCATGGGAAGGTCTGACGACAATGATACCCTTTTGCAATACAGCCGCCGTTGGAGTATCCGCGAACTATGTAGAAGCACCTACTGACTCTGAATGGCTAAATCCGAAAATATTCTCCCTTTCCTATTGATCTATTTCTGCCTTGACCGGAAAGGTGGCGACTGTGGGAGCGTAGGCGCGAAAGGAGTGAGTGTCTTCGAGGGAAGCCTCCAGATTGCTCGTTCCCGAACATTCTCCGCTAGAGCAACAGCAAACCGATTGCTGCATACGTTGAGCTATTTTGGCATGATATCAACGATTGCGGAAACAGGAATGAGATCCGGGTTACGGAATGCTCCCCCTTTTCTGACGGCGGCCCTGGGCTACGGGTGAGCGATTGCGAAGCTCCTTTGTCGATCCCGCTTTGCTTTGAACACGAACGGGGACAGTACGTAGTACAGTCCCTCGAAAGACTTTCAACTGTAGCGTATGTTGAATTTCCAATTTTCCATCTGGGCAGTTGCATCTCCGCCAACGGCCAGATGTTCGGGCTTCATGCCCGTGGATCACCAAGCGATGGATTTTAATGACGGGAGCCAGTCATCGAAAACTTCTCGTTCTTCCGGGCGTCTGGTTGGCCGTCCGAGGGTGGGCTTAACCCCGCGATGGCGTTTATTTTGACGCAACATGGGTAAACGTGACGGGTCTTGGAATAGCGTTGGTTTTTGAACAGGGAGTCTGTTATGGCATGGGACCGAGAAACAATGGCACTACGTGCTGTACTCTCTTCCCTTCCCCTTCCATTTATTTTATCTGACTATCTGCAGCCGCAAGTGAGCTGGATCTCAAAGTGGGGCATCGATACGATCCTTCACGGATGAGCATCCGGCACGGCTCGCGGACGATCTTGACTGGCACCCTGAGCATGCTTGCGCTCTTCGAAGGCTGGGACTGGGGGAGCGAAGGCGGAGGCGGAGGCGGGGAAAGGCGGGGCTTCTTGTCGCTTTCGGGTTTGAAGGAAGGTCTTGAATGAGGGGGGACAGGATGTAGGCCGATTGGATTGGCGATACGGTGCCTGACAGAGCAGAGGAGGGGGATGAGTTGCTACCGTCCGGTTACATATGTGATGTGTTCCTTTATCAGGAAATTTTCTTGCGAAAGCAGATATGTTGATGAAGGGATGAGAGGTGATGCTGGAAATGTATCTGGAAGAGAATATGTGGGTGGCAAGAAAGGTATACTGGGTAGCCATCGGAAGGCTTTTTTGGCGCCTTCGAGATATGCTTTGGGGGTATGCATGCTTCATGTTGTTGTTTATGCCAAGAGGTAGGATCGCGAAAACGAAGATAATGAATGGTAAGGAGAGGGTATCACAGATCTTAAGATAAGAATCAGGAATATGCCTCCCATTTTTGAGATTCGAAAATGTGTCCGTGCATTCAAATATATATCAGACAGTGAAAGAATTCAACAGGTTTATAATTCTTCTCTAGAAAAATGGCAGGCTAGCGTGCCAAGACCTCGCGAGATTGCATCTTCATACTAGAACACCATAGGTAGATAAAAGAAAGATGTGTAGGCGGGCATACTCCAGATTCTTCCTGATTTCACTTGGACATCCATCCCACGCTTCCATACGATTCCAGTGGAAATGTCTTGCAAGTCGGGTGGGTTCAAAGGGCGTTTCTCGAAAATTCCTCTGCATAACATCAAGCGACGCAATTGTCTAACATTCCGCTCCAGCCAACAGTTGGGGCTCAGTCCTCAGCGTGCACGTTTCACTTACTCCGGGAACACCCTCCCGCTTGCTCTGTCATTGTAGCAGTATCGTGTGTTCAAATGTTCGAACAAAGGGAATTCCCCAAGTCAGAGTGCTTCGAGAAACCCAGTAATGATACCTCGAAGTCTGCCTCGGTGTCCGAATCGCAACAACTTTCGATAACAGTCACGGTCGGATAGAGCATGGAGTCGGGATACTCGCCCTGACTGCGGCGACTCTTGACCACAGTCATCGCCCCCACGCAATCAAATACTGTCAAGGGAGATTCACTGCTTCACATTACGGTGCATCCACCATTCGACAGAGCTCCGGCTTCGGTGGTGGTCTTGGCCGCTGTCCTGGCAATGTCTTCGATCACTTCGTTCATGAGCTCGCCCGTCGTCGCTGAACACTCGGCGTACCGGTCACAGCGGAGATCTTGAGCCGCTTTGAGCCCCTACGAGCAACTCAGCCGTCAGCTCCAGTCATCTTCGCCCACGGACCTCGGAACACGGACCTCCTGCGGATAAATCACCCCGGGCTTTTCCTCCCGGAGATCCCTTTTCAAGCCCAGCAGCATGATGGGAATGTCGTCTCTGTCTTTCATGTAGGACTCCACCATCCGCTTGAACCACACATGCTGCACATTCACCAAGGTTCGCCTGTCGTTGATGTCGTAGCACAGTACTATAAAGTCGGGCTTCAACAGCGTGTAATGCTCGGGGGAAGCCGTGTCGGAGAATTCGAAGCGGTACGATCGGTTGTACATGCGTATGTCCCAGACGAAGGGCTGGTCCAGGTCGCGGAGAGGGGGCAAGGACGTGGTCTGCTGGCGCATGGAGTTGGCGCCATGGCTCAGTCTTCTACGGATCAATGCTTAGCGTTGGGATACGGTAGAGGTGGAGGGGAGTTGTGTACGAAAGAAAGGTGGATTTGCCGCAGTCAGGGTCGCCGAGGAGCAGGATGGTGACTGTTGGAGGGCCATCCATGAACAGCTGCTGAATGATAAGGTACCTTTACTTTCACACTTTCGAATCTCCCGTCCCTCAGACGTGCCAAGCTCGCTAATCCCCTTTGGGTTAATTCGCTGACTTTCACGGCCTTCGCGTGGCACCGCTGTTGCGAGGCGCGGATCACGCAATTCTACTAAGCAGTTACTAAGCTTTGTAGTTTGTACTACCGCTAGCCGATTAATCATTATCGCGTTTGCACACCATGGCCTCGGCGTATTACTGTTCCTCTCTTGTGCAGTAGTAGCTGAAAGGGCGCATCGCTGCCACAGCGGCGTTTTTCAAGGCTCAGCTGCAGCAAATGCAGTAATCGTAGCCCCTCCCCTCCTGGTTGGTTCACGTTTCCGATCCCCTCTAACAAAATTTGGGAGACTGCTATGACTGATGCCTTATCGGTACAACAGACTATACTCCGCTCCCATGATGTTTTCATCACCGTGCCGATATACTCATGAACACCAGAACGTCCAGGATGCTGTAATACGTAGTTAAGGTCAAAAACGATCCGCGTGGAGGGATGTAACCGCGGGAGTCATCTGTGGCATTGAAAGATATCGAAGGTCTTGATCTTCTTTTCTGCAGGAAAACCCCTCATCTAAAGTTCAACAAAAAAAATATATACCTAAAATCGTCTGCTCAGGTCTTGAAGCACTTAGTGTGATAGGTGAGCAAGTGGAAAATGCTGGCCTTGCGCTTCACAATCCGCTGATGCCAAATCGCGTGTTTCCAGGTCATCTCGAAAGGTACTGACCGATGGCTTACTAGGTCGCGAGCTTCGACCGTCAGAACCTTTTCTGTCGACCCCGGTCTGGCCATCACTCATGTCTTTGTAACGACCCATGCTGGCACGAGATAATAGACTCTTCCTTCCCTTGCTGGTAAGCAGGACTCGATAGAGTGGTAAAGACGCGACCATGACCGCGATGGTGACTTCGAGACTCGACCACAGCGCAACGCCAGAGAAGGTGCCTGATTGAAGAGACTCAACCGTGCGAAGGATGTCAAAGATGGCAATTATCAAGCCGAGGGAGAAGATTCCGGCAAGAACCACTTTCTGTGATTTGCGCAGCTGGAGGCCCCAGACCATGAAGAGGGGCAATACGATGACTATAGTGTGTCAGATCACCAAAAAAGAATTCAAGAATGAAAACCCACCCATAAGGTCTGACGAAACGTTCAGAGCACACCAGTATTTGTAGGTAGCCCTGATGTTGTACAATGTCTGAGGTGAGGAGCATTTCTCTGAAAGTCATTAGTCTTCGACGGCCCAAGAGCTTGCAGGGCTAGCTACATACCAAAATTATACAGGTCGCTCGCAGGTCCGCAAATTGTAAACGTGCTGCCAATGCATACCCAAAACGAAGCGAAGGTAAGTGCAACAGCCGCCCACCATACCCGGATGAAAGTGAGAGACACCTCAAAAAGGAGTCGGTAGAAGATTAGGAATGTCGCTTTTACTGTCCACAGCACCATGAAAACCAGCAGCGTTACGACTATCCTGAGTTGCAGATAGGTGTGGTAGAAAGGATCTGTAAGTGGTGGTGCGGCTTCTTCTTTGAGACCTATCCTTGCGATTCGAGCCGAATATGGAAACCCGGCTGTGTATGTGCCGGCGAGAGCTACGAGGAGAAGGAGCGAAAGCAGATGCGAAGCGTCGTCCCAGTAGAACCTTGAGGCGGTGACATAGCGGATGGCGAATCGCCCAACAGACAATAGAATGGCGATGGTGGTGAAAGTCCAGAGGAGAGCCTATTTCCATTTCGGCGGAGATGAGAATGCGAATCCATCAGTAGCTAGAATGGAGGAATACGAACATCTAAGCTCTGCACTGAAAGCGAATCATACATGGTCAGGCGAGCACTCGGGGATTTAGAGCGTAGGTCAGAATGCAAACGAGTACTTTTGCAAATGCCTGGTCAAGACGGGCAAAGGAACGAAGACTGGCAACGTCGAGTAAAAAGGATCCAGTTCCATTCTTAACGCTGATGGAAATAATACTAAGCACAACTGGCGGTATATGTCACACATGATCTAGATCTCTACAGTGCGCATCGACCGCGCCGCACCGAAGTCGCACCGAAGTGTAATGGGTGTAGGGTGTAGGATTGGTGAGAGTTGATTATTTAGCTTCTCCAACACCCAACATTGGCCAATGCAAATTCAGGTTCGGTGCACGAAAGAACAAAAGTCAATGCTGGATGACGCAAATGTGCGTAGGTGAAGAGTTCGGCGTAGTGAACATAGTAAGCACTAATTGGACCATCAATAATCAATTCTATGGCGAAGGATTCAGCTGAACGAAAGCTCCAAAGTAAATTATAGTGGCTGGGGTGCCAAGGTGCCAAGGTGCTTGATTCGTCAATTAAGCGAGCTTCCAATCAGGTCTAGCGCATTATTCATTAGCGCCTGAAGCACTAGCAGCTCTTCCTCAGCACCTTACTCCTATCTCATCTACTCTTCATTTTTACATCCAGTATGCCGGAAACTAACAACTTAAGTGCAACAGAACGCTCTCCCCTTCTGAGCAATACTCCAGAGCAAGCGGAACGTTCCGCACCCAAGAGCCATGGCTCAGCTCAGAACGGATCAGCAAGCGATGTCGAGTCGAACCAGCAAACAGAAAATCCGGAAGACCCCATTATCGTGCAAGGGAGGAAAACGGTCAAATCTTTCTTACCCATTCTCGGCGTCGGCATCTTCTTAGCCTTCCTGGACCAGTCCATTGTCGCTGCCATCAATGGAGAAATTGGTAGTGATTTGCACGCGCTCAGAAATGTCTCCTGGATCGCTACCGCCTATTTTCTCACCATGACAGCTTCCCAGCCACTCTATGGCAAACTCAGCGACGTGTTTGGGCGGAAGCCATGCCTCCTATTTGCCTACGCCATGTTTGGCCTCGGAAGCCTTGGCTGCGCTGTCACAAGGAACATGGAAGGCTTGATTGCTGCCAGGGTAAGTTAAAAGCATCTGTCCCCACTACGATAGTAATGCTGAATGTAGTAGGCAGTTCAAGGGATTGGAGGAGGAGGCATGTTGATCATAGTCACCGTTCTTCTCTCCGACTTCATCTCGCTGCGGGAAAGAGGCACATATCAAGCCTACTGCAATCTTATTGGAGCAGTCGGCTCAACTTCTGGTGGCCCTATTGGTCTGCTACTAGTTTATCTTCGTTCTTTTGAGACCCGAAGCTGACATTTAGATCAAAGGAGGACTTTTTGTACAAAGCATTGGCTGGAGATGGTAAGCAGGATTCACTTGCATGGAGATCTTGTGCTTATGTGTATGACAGGGCATTTTTTATCCAGGTGCTTCTGTGCCTGATTGCGATCGTCTCTGTCGGCCTATTGCTTCATCTTCCGAAACGGCAATCTGAAACCCCATGGAGAAAGCAACTCCCTCGCATCGATATCCTTGGTGCCTTGCTCCTAATTTTGACCATCTTCGGCATATTGTTCGGCCTTGATCGAGGCAGCAATGTTTCTTGGCGCAGTCCGCTGACCATAGGATCTCTATGCGCCGCAGTACCCTTGTCAATCGCATTCCTAGGAGTCGAAACCCGTTTCGCCGTCGAGCCATTCACACCCGGCCATATCATCTTTGACAAAGCTCTCTTTGCATGCTATACACAGAACTTTTTTGGATACGCCGCTTTCACCGCACTGATATTCTATTTACCCTTATTCTTCCAAGTCATTCTGGAAATGACGCCCGCCCAGGCCGGGGCGAGCCTTATCCCAGCAGCAATTTCTGCTGTTGTCGGAACGCTCCTTGGCGGAATAATCTTGAAGAGGACAGGAAAATTCTATTGGCTCGCTGTACTCGCGATGACAGCGGCTACTCTTGGATCTATACCTATCGTGGTGGCGCCTTCGCTCGGAGGCGTTTCTCTTGCAAGCATCTACGTTGGATCCATTATCAGTTTCGTGCCACAAGGTGTAGCTGTGACAGCTTCTCTCATCGCGATTAGTAAGTCTTGACACCAAAGATGTCCATAGCATTGCTGACGGTCTCCAAGTATCCAATGTCTCAGCAGCCGATCAAGCCGTAGCCACAGCATGCTCCTTCCTCTTCCGATCTCTTGGCGCAGCTGTCGGTGTCTCCTTGGTCGGCACACTGATTCAAAATGTCTTACGGATGAGGCTTCGTGCCTCTCTTGAACCTCAAGAGGCCGATGAGATAATTGGAGGTATCGCGCAAAGCCTCGAATACATCAAGGATCTTCCTCCTTCGCTTCGTGCGGTCGTCCGAGAGTGCTATAGTGCAGGGATCCAAGCAGGCTTCGCAGTGTGCTTAGCACTACTTGCAGTCTCCACACTGAGCGTCATTTGGTGGCGGGAGAAGAAGCTTTCTAGGTGATTAGGCATCATCATGTCGTATCCGCAATGTAACAACAGGGACTATTCTATCAAACAAATTCCAGCTTCTCTGGATCATGGTAATCAACGGAACAGGGAAAGGCCAGAACGCGAGTGACTCCTCCAGTTGAATAAGGTATCTTTCAATCCGGTTCAGTGGTGCTCAAAGGGATAACTTGTTGGAAAGACCCCTTTGGAACGATCCTCACTCCTTGAAACGATCGGTCATTTACCTCACATCAAATCATCATTCATTGAGCGGATTATGTAAGATACAGGTGCAGTCCGGGTCCCTGCATCGATTGAGATTAGACTTGTAAGAGCTAAAGGTGGATGATGTGAGGTCGTATGGGCACGCAGGCCTGTTGAATTTGCAAATCTGTTTTATGAGGGCCGTGCTCGGGTCCATTTTTCCCGCGCAGTATTGTTCCTGCCCAGCTAAATTTTCCACGCTTGTTCATGATCAAACTCGGGAATGATGTGATCGGTCATGATTTATGTTACACCCCACATCCAGAACTCCCCTCCTACACTACAACCCTACGCTCAGGCAACAATACACTTGGCGCTCTTCAAGTCATTTACCAGCTTCGCCAACCTGCAAGGCGATCCATTCGCCATGGGCGACACAACGGAGATGGACGTCTCATCGCTGTTGGCACAGATTGAGACTCTCGGCAAGAGCCTATCCCCAGGCATCAAGCAAGATGCAGCACCACGCAAGAAGTTGCGCCTTGCCGCGCGTCATTTGGGACGAAGCAATGGAAGAGCCCGGTAACATTATCGAAAGAGTCTGCTTCTCGGTAAGGAAGCCCTTGCGACCGATACCTTTTCATCTCACCTTGGCCACAATCATCGCTGATATTGATGACTCAACCCACCAGTTCATGGAAGAAGTGTCCATTCGTATTGCCATCGATCTGGATTTGTTCAACATCTTGGTGAAGAGTGGGAAGCCAGAGACGCTCGAGGACTTGGCCAAAGCAACGGAAGCCGATGGGTACTACTTGGTGGGTTCTTGGTTGACCATTCACACACTGATCACTGACTGATATGTTCGGCAGCTCGCCTACTTCGCTCGCTCGGCGCAGTTGACGCAGCAGGAGAGGTTGGGAAGGTAGGCGAAGAGGCGTATGTGTCCACGAAGGTGACCAGAACTTTCGTGATACCGTCGTTGGCTGTTGGGGTTGAGTTCTGGTATGTTGCGGCTCTCTCGTCCGATCTGTTGCTACCTAAGCCAGAAGTCTATACTCAGCTTACTTCTGGGAGGGTCTGCCGTTCAGGAATGCTGACAACGTAATCTCGACCGCTAGTTTCGATGTCCTCAGCCCCAACTGGAACAACCTCCCCGCGTACCTCAAAGAAATGGACTATCGGAATCCGACGGATTTCACGAATGCGACTTTCCACAAAGCACACAACACGACCGACCATTTCATACCCTTCCTAGCCACCAAGCCAGACTTCCAGAGGTCTTTCCAAACCTACATGAGCGGGTTCGACAAAGGCAGAATTTTTTGGACAAACTTCTTCCCGGTGGAGAGACAAGATCGGTAAAGGCGCCCGGCGAGACCCGGAGGTTATCATGTTTGTTGACATCGGTGGCGGTATGGTACACGAAGGTCTTGCACTGAAGACACGATATCCGAACCCGCCAGGTCGCTTTGTAAATCAAGACCTACCTCAGATCGTGTCAGATCAGAAACTGCATGGGATTGAGTCCATGGCTCACGACTTCTTTACTCCCCAGCAACTAAAAGGTAGACACCAAGTCAAACATGGCCCCCAAAGTCCCTTATCCTGCTGCATCCACCGGCACTATTGGCGACTGGCAAGCTTCGAGATGAAACACTAATTCCATCCCTGGCACAGCCGCTCGCGTCCACGCTACATCCTGCATGACTGGAACGATACACTATCCCGTACGATCCTTGCCCATATCCGAGCCGCTATAGATCCATCGCACAGCAAGGTCCTGATCAATCAGTGGCTCGTCCCGACGCAACGAGCCTCGTTCATGACCCACCAAGACCCGAACACGATGGCGACGTTCAGCCCCATGGAGCGGACGGAGGAGGAAACGCGGCATCTGCCGGATGGGGCGGGACTTCGCGTTCTGCGTGTTTGGCGGCCCGATGATGGGAAGAGTGAGTGTGTCGCTGAGGCGGGGGCGAGGTAGGAGGACTTCGGCTCCCGTGGGAGTCGCAACCGTTGCTTGGTAGTAGTAGATCACAGCCATTGGGAGAAAAAAAAGAAGAATGGGGGGAAGGGATGGTCGGGAGCCAATTCCTTCCGTAAATACGAGGTCATGGAAAGATTCAACGCTAGTCTCGGTCAGGCCCGTCGGATGAGATTGATCAAGCAGGATTCGCAGTTCGCTGGGTCTTCAGTGGGAGATGCATCGTGCCCGCGTGAGATCGTCCCTCCGCACCACAGATTGGTAATGTGGAAATATTCGCGTTCGACACCGTCTGCACTCCGGCATGGCGGCGGCGCACTGCACGGACCGGGGAGCGATGGGGAGGGGTGGCATTCAGCACATTACACACCACATATCGTTCCCAGTCCTCGTCCGGTACAAGGACCCCCGTTCTCTCCGCCACATGACCCCAACGGCTCCGTCGAAAGCACTTTTCGTCGTCCCCTCACGAATCCCCTTTTCTTCGGGCACGCCGTTGACGGAAAGGTTCGGTCCTTCCTTCCCTCCCGCCTCGCGATCTTTTCGGGTCCCTCCCAGCTGTCTTCGATCTGTGTTCGTGGCTAGCCGGCCGCATGGTACGCTTCGTTCCCCGCGGAGGGGTTGCATCCTTCCCCCCTTTTCGACGCATCGTCTGCCCAGAGGACGTTCCGTCTCGATGGCCTGGGCGGCTGGGGTCGAGAGTTTTGAGGGTTTCCCGTTCTTCGGATGGGGGTTCGATGTCGCGGCTGGTTACCTCGAGGGTCTTTTCGTGAAGTACTGGATCCCGTCTTTTGTACGTGTGTGGCTATGCGCCGGTCGGCCCTGATGCATGGTCCCCATATCGTCCGGGTCGGTCGGGACCGAGGTACTTTTGGATCGAGATGTGTGCGGTGCTCGTCTATTTCACTGTCGGTGATGCTTGTGTGAGGATGTATGTGGAGCCTTGGGACATGTGTTGAGAGCGATGACTCCCGAGGCAGATCTCAAAGACTCGAGATCTGCTTTAGAAGGGGTAATGTGGGCTCCGAAAAGACGGACAAGGGAGGAGTGATTGATCATCATCGCCCATCTTTTTGACGGCTTGCTGACGGACGGCTTTGCGGCATTGCGCAAAGGGTTCCACATTCTCTGGCAGCACCCGGGGCGGTATTATGGGAAATGGTCGCTGCTGGAGTGGTAAGCGGGTGGCTATGATGGCGACGGTGGAGAGTGATCGATCAGCCTAGCACGACGTTCAGGATGCTGTTGGAATGAGGAATCTTGGGACCTTATGTTGGGAACATCGTCGTTCAACGCGGCTGAGTAGAGGGAGAGGTGGAAGCGACTAGGACATTCCTCTGTGATTCCGCGCAAATGTCGTATATTGTACGTAAGCATAATAATCGTTCACCCTTTTCAATCTCGGATCTTGCGCTAAGACAAACAGCCGAATAGGAAACATGCCTGCAGACGGAATCTGCCAGGGTGAAAGACATTGGCTTTATAACGTCCACGGTGCGAGAAAATTGCACACCAATATTGTTCTCGGGGCTCGAAAGCCTTGGTCTGTTAGCTACTGGAGCATTTTCATAGGAAGGGGCGTGAGTATCGGGAGTTGACCCTAGTAAAGTCCCTACTCCTGTCAGTATTTTGCCCTTGCATGATCCTCAAAGATAGATCCGGTTGTCCAAAGATGAGAAATTCCTACCAAGGACACTTACCAGATTATCGGCATGGAGTAAAGGGGAAAGGACGTTTATGCTCCGACGCGATTTTGAACGTTGATAATCCAGGAGCATACATCCTGCGATTCGATACCTGAGCCGCCAGTCATCCGAGTACCTCTAGCCAAAGCTTCAACCGGAGGAGCTCTCGAGAATGACCTAGATATTTGAGCCTCGTCTCTGAACTGTTCATTGTCGAAAGTACCCCTGGCTTTGCAGCCCAAAGTCCATCATCCGACGAGACTGCACGTATGATAGACCAGCAACAGTACCCTTTGGAGCTTAGATTATACCATCTTCTGGCTTCATAGTCAACAGATCGGTGTGCAGCTCGGCTAGGTCTGTGAAGAGTTGCGCCGGCATCAAGGTTCGTACGTGACAACTCATTCAGACCCGTGAGCTGACGATAAAGGAGACTATCAACATCATGTTCAGTCGAGAGAAGCTCCAAGCTCCATCCTCACCCTTGCAGTCAACAGACACCGTCAGAGGACCCAGACTCAGCCCGAGATTGTGAAGTTCGCCTTGGATGCTGCAGAAAAGTGTGGTAGCAAGGTTTCGGTCGTCGCTCCTTACGACGCTTCAGGCTTTCCAGATCAGGAGATTTTGGTCGTTGCGGATCTTTGTGAGGGTGGAGTGCACGAGGGGGGGTTCAAGAAGAGCTTCGGCGTCCGGGATCGCTAGGTATTAGCCGGGAATTACGCTCCTGGTAGGAATTGAATCGAGGCTGCAGAGACGTCTCCTGAGGAGTTGGAGAGTCGGAGATGTCAGAGTCAACAAGTCTCAAGGGTAGGTCGAGCGCGTCGTCGATCAGTCATTCGACATCATCGATACCGCCACTATTAGGCTTATTTTTATCATACGAGTGCTGATGTGCAATGCTGTGTTGTATCCATGCCGCTCTGAAAGCGGAATTGAGAGACGATGAGCACAGACAAGAAGTCTGCAGGGTGCAAAAGAATGCCAAGCCAAGCAATCGTGCGGTGTGTTTAGAGAACAATGTAGGTGAAGATCTAGCGGAATAGTCTGGGGTCCAGACCGAGAGCAAGACCGGTGTTCATGCCTTGCTGGCGGACTGCCGGACTGATTACAGGCCTTGAGCCTAGACATGGAGCTGGGATTTGGTTCTGAAAATCAACTACTTGTTCGGCGTTTCGTCCTTTCCGTAAACATAGGAAAATGGTATATTGAGCACACGAAATCGATTGCTAACTTTGACTTTATCTTTTGCGTTGTGGCATTCACTGCAAATGGGTGTGGGCGGTAAAAGATAGCTTTGGGGAAGCAATCGAGAAAGCCACGGAACGTAGAGAATCAGCAGTCGAGTGTCGAAGGGACATGGATGCCTATTTGAGAAGATGTACGCTTGGCGAGGAATAGTGCAACATCAAGGCGCGGTCTTTACAGAGTCAGCATTACGCTTATAGGTTCTGGGGGTTTGTAGGACGAAGTTCGGATCTCTCAAAGGCGGCCAGGTGATGTGGTATTTCAGGGAAGAAGTCGCGCAGATGGAGAATGAAGGTCGTGGAGGAAGCAACGCGCATACATACATAAAGTGAAAGTGCGATTCTCCTCCTGGAGAGAACCCAGAGCTGGCAGCAACTAAAGATTTAAAGAGTTGACGGCCACTCGACAGGATAGGTGAACACAGGGGGGTTTGGTTTAGTTGTGCTGTTTGAGGCGGTAGATGTCGAATATAACCATGCAAGAAGTATCGTTCAAGATATAGAAGGGATTGCATTGGCGGAGCAATATGAACCCTGACATTGGCTAAGGTGGGAGCTGCTATTTTCCATCATCACGACTCTCGCCGGGCGGTCGGAGCTTGCCTGTCCTGGCGAGACGATTGGAGGAGACGCTTTGTTTGCGGGGACAGAGGGGAAGCTCGCGCCAGCTTCTTGTCACAAGCTTGAGAATAGCTTTCAACTCAGCAAAAGAACAGCCTGTCAGGACATGCGCTTCTCGACTGGGACATTTTCATAATGATATGGAGACAACGTCTTCTTCTTCTTCTTGGGCATTGCTAACATGTCTTGAATTCAAACCCGAAGCCAGACTCGCGGGTAATAATTCTAGGGAGAAACCATTCTTAACTTGACAGAGAGCTATCGAAACAGTCTTCTCATCGAACGGTCGGGCGAGAATATACGATTTTTTGGAGATAGTCTCCCACACCTCTATTGGGTAAGACCGGGATCTGCTGAGAAATGGAGCGAAGAGATTGACTGGACGAGCGACCACTCAACGATCAATCCATCTCCTGTTGCTGCAATCCACGCGCTGCGACCTGATTGTAACTCCGGTTCGAGCTGTCACCATGGAGTCGTGGTCGGATAGTACCGCGATTTCCTTTCGATTCGTGTCCAATGGTCCGCCCCCACTTTCTGGACCATTAGGACGGACTTGTCCAATGGACTATTGGTTCGGACCGACTCAGGTGTTCGGACGGACGGTCCGTTTGGACGGTCCAAGACGGTGGACGGACTACGGACCATGGAATGGCTTCAACCTGTACTAGTTCAGGCCTTTGGACCGACTGGACGGCTTATGACATAGTCTACACCGAGCCCCCACCAACCGCAAGAACTTTGAGATCGATCCAGATCCCTGGGTTCAAGTTTTTCAAACTATATCGCTCAGCTTAGCTCAATATCTCCTCCCATCGTGAACTTTCTCGTGCCCTCGTCACCAACCCTGTGTGACCGAATCACTGCACCACCCGACATTTACACCCTCTGTCTCACCCACCCTGTTCATCAAACTACCACGATCACAAAACACGACTCCCTTCTAGACTCCCGCAGCTGCCTCACCGCCTCCTCGCCGACGATCGGTCCACACCGCCATCCATAGATAGATAGCATGCATCCTCGTTGTTCCATCCATGGGAATCTGCGTCCGCGGGTTACCGTCGGTCTGAGCAAGTTGATCGTTGATGGAGTGGTGTTTGCTACCCCGCATTTCGGGTCGGCGGTGAAGCTTACAGATTGTGTGTGATTCCGTGCGTGCGGGGAAATGCGATCGATTGGGTGAGGGGGGGCGGATTGGGTGGGTGAGAAATTAGCGCGCGCGCGCCCTTCCCTGCGCATGGGTTCCGGTTGGGTTCGCTGGGTACAACAGTATCGAATGAAAAAGCGTTTCATGAAATGTGGACCTCTAACACGTTGCCCCGTCCTTTCATATCTCTGCGCTAGAAGGACCGTCGGAGAATTCTAAAATGACTAAGACAAACCCATCGTGGCTAACCAATTCTCCGACTCTTTTTCCATCTACTCGTAACGAGTGGTAAAATAAAAG